AATGCAGTTCCATTAATAGATTTCGTTATTTGGACGCTCACGTAGTTCCATCTGATAATTCTTACGATAGTCCTCAAGCGCAACACCACATAAAATTCTCCTTTTTTTCAAACACATCATGAAAATTCCATTCCTTTAAAATAAAAATACTGTTTTAGCAATAAGTATATACGTCTTCTGCCTGAAGCTTAGGGTAGTCATTTTGTCAGACTTGCCGTAATGCCCTGGCAAACCTAACAGGGTGAGGGATTTCTTATAATTTCTCCAGCTACACAAAAGTTGTGAAGTAGCGCTTGTTAAAACCAAAGAAAACTGATCATTACGCCACCCACTAGTATTTTCTCACGCCTTTCTGCATCATGCCTTCGCGGTGTAAAGGTAGCAAGCTCGGTGCGTATTTGAGAGGTCCAGGTTCGAGTCCCGGCGAGGGAATAGTACATTTTTCACATATCCTGCTTCAAAATAACCTAATGACTCTACAGGATGACTGAAGCCGCTACTCTTCGGGACAGCATGGTCTATCACTTTTTGGCATTAAGAACCGGGCTCGCGTAATTTTTGCCCTAAGAGTCATGACTACCAGAGTATAATATTAACCCTAGGGGAGGGGATTGGATCTATCAAAAATTTTTTTTAAAAATTTAATATTTAGGATAGTAACTTCTGAACTTCAGACTCCATTAAAATTTAAATGGCATATCTACTGTAAAGTACCCGCATTTCTACTCCAAAATGCAAATCAGAATGAAAATTCTATACCACATAGACTCGGCTAAGGTGTTTCAAGTTAGGTCTTCCACATTTCCATCCTCCTACTATTGAATGACCAAGATGGTGAGCATAACGTCTGTGTAATGTTTGCGACAAGAAGTAACTCACAGAAGAATATTGCTAGATATTTATCTTTAATATGATAATCAATTATGTGAGTAAAAAGACCGCATTACAAAGGCACACAGCGCTTATATTCAACAAGGGATTTCTTGTGAACGAAAAACAAAATCTATGATATAAAAGCAGGTCATAATTACATAAACGAATTTGTTTCGTAAGTGTATATTTCTGTAATAACTGGTATATTAAAATACATAAAATGCAGTGAACATAAACAGAACAAATATCTTTTTGAAAAAGAGCAATTTTAAAAAATTTACTCAATATCATAAATTGGCCAGTTTTGTTCATTCCCACGTTCCCTTTATTTAATATTGCATTCATTGTGATAGAGTGTAATATTTAAAAACCCAAACAAAACACCTTGAAAGTTATTTGGAAATTACGCTTGAAATAAAAAATTTCTAATTATCCCCTTAAACGGCAAACCATTATGAATTTTAACTTTCTGATATTGAAAACCGGACGGATCAAGATAATAAAAACAATAAAAGCATTCAAATCTCTTAAGCTGGTGTCTCCGTAAATTACCGTAATGCAATCCGCAAAGACGGAAGTGGCATTGGCTGGGGAAAAAAACAGTGGTAACAAAGGGTTTCTTGAGTCACGCGCACATCACGTATGAATTAACCGCAACTACCACAAAGTCGATAGTCGACAAGCGCAGTATTACAAGAATGTCGTATACACTTCGACACGCGTAAAAACGCAAGTTCATCCACGCGTAAATGCTACGCATACTGGATATATTGCGGTTAACTCACCACATATTGTGGTTAATTCTCAAATAAAAAAAAAATTATAATATCAGAAAATTTAAGTTTCATTAGATATTGTAATTTCCGTGCTTGCAATAAATATATTCTAAACCATGAAATAAAGCTTGCAGATAACCTGGATTAGCAAGGTAGAGCGAAGAGAAAGATCTTTTCACAAAGAAATATATAAACAAACAAAAAGAATAAGTACCTGATGTACCGTATCTCTATAGCAGCAATCAAATTATACATTTCTTTCAACGTCGCTATTCCATTCTCGTTTCAGAAGCTAGGCTCAGCTTTCAGAACCTGTTCCAAACTGCAACTACAGGTGACTGAGCTAAATTAAAACTTCTGGCAGTAGTAAATTGCACACTTCTAGGAAGGTAAGACAAATTCGAATCAAACAGCAGGGAAAGGTTGGCAAGTGATAAAAGTTGTTGTTCGACCGTTTCCCGAATTCCTAAAACCAGAAAAATAGAAACGAGACGCTATCCATTACTCAGGCATCCACCTGTTTTGAACATTCTAATTTTTCCAGAGCAAGCTACCTGGTCACTCAACATAACGGTGGAGATAATCAAAGGAAACTGGATGGCTCTTAAGAATATGCAGTAACCACCGGTAGATAACTACTGCCTGGCGCTTTTATAGCCCAAAACCGACAGACCTTGCGTCTGTATTTTGTGCGGACTATGTATAATTTTAGATTGATCGCATGGGTTCGTCCCAAAAAGGCAGACGGCCCGCAGATTACCCACTCCCAGAATGGGATGGTAATGAGAAAACATAAAAAATGCGGGACTCTTTTTGTAACCCCGTAAATACTTTACGAGTACACTTTAGACCCTTTAACAAGGATCAGCTACAGGATAAGACTGTTGTCAGCAGCCGCGATAGTTTCAGGTCCAATAGTGAATATGAAAATAGTTGTCCGGCCGTTTATAGGCCTGTAGAAAATTTCCAGACTTAACATCTGGGTTTACATCAAAGGATTTAACATGTTCTGCGTTTACTCAGGGCCGGCACAACCCATGCTACCGTACCTGGCAGCAGAATTTAGGAAATGTACAGACTGCGTCGGGAAGGTCGTGGATTCAGACGACATCCCAGTTGAAAGTTACCAGGAACCTTACAGAGAGCACCTCTGCAGGTGCTTCGGAAGTCGAGATACCACAGGAATTTTCCCAAAATATACGCGATTCATTTATTCACGACAAGTGCCTATTACTCTTCAGAGTGCTGCAACTTTGACATCTTGTAAATAATGAAATGGGTTTTGTTTTCTTATGCGCTACTCTTTCATTTCTCGTCCTCTTTGCACATACTAAACACACGAAAATAGTGTTCTTGCACTGTTGTATGATTCCGGTTAATTTCTGAGCAACCTAGAAACTTGTGCAATCAATCTTTAGCTTATCCACCCTGATATTTTCGAGAAGTTTAGAGATGTTAGAGCAATACCTACTAACCACTCGAAAAATTTCTGTTTCATGTAATAATAACAAACTACTCTTTTATAAAAGCATTAATTATCCAATATTTAGTTACAGACCATTATATTTACAAATATTAGTTAGGCTCAGTATTTAGGCATTTGCTTCTAATCCTGTACTTATCAGATGGCAATATTTTAGAAAATCGCTCTCACTCAACTCATCTGTGTTGTACGAAAGAAAAAAATTCATACAGACCTAATGATAAAAATTCCATCTTATCTCAAAGATTTATTGTCTATTCTTTGCACAGTTAAGTTAATTTAAAAAGTACAGAATGATAACTAAAAAATACCAGTACCAAACTATGATTTCAATTTACATTAAACAGCCGTACACATTTCACAATACTGAAGTATCTCGGCTGCCGCCTAGATCCCTACAGAAAATTTTTAAACGGAAAGGAGACAATGTGATGTAAGAATTATTAAGCTATAATTTTCTCAAAAACATGAAGCATTACTTAGGTTTTTTCCAATATTTTTTTATTAACAGGATAATCACCTATGAAGTAAACGTAAATGAATCGTACGCGGTTATTACTTCTTCATTAAGAGAATATCCACCAAACATTCGAGAGTCCAGGAAATATACATAGTACATTTTGCTAGGTCGAAGATACAACCAATCAATGCAGAGTTTCTATAAATAGATACTTTCGGACTAAATCCAATCAACCCAACATAACTGTTTCGTAACTATTACAAATAAAATTACTTCTTAAGAATAAAACAAAGCTGAAATGTTTTCAGTACACTCTAAGGTAAATAAACGAAATTCATGTGAAAATATTTCAACTAAAAATAAAAAATAAAATTATTTTCCCAGGCTAAAAGCATTCTTCTTATCTTCTTGTTCTCTCGCCCTTACTGTCAACAAGATAAAAATCTTGAATATACCCAATGCATCAACTCTTATCTTTCTTTATCCAGAGCCTGGGGACGTTTCATATTTATAATGCGTAGAGGTAATATAATAAGTCTCATGGGTCCAATACATCACATTTTTATCTTTAAGCTTGATATGATCTATAAACACAGTAAATGCACTATTACATGCAGATTAAAGTAAATTCTCATGAATGCTACAGTTCTTGCCGACCTGAATTAATATTTGCTATCTTTTATACAGTAAATATATAAACAACGCAGTTATTTAAAAGTCTAAGCACGTTTACTAGCCGGGGTGACACTGCAGAAAACCAAAACACTCTTACATTGTAATGTCTAATTAGTCATTCAATTTTCTGCAAGGATACATTCTTATTCCACTAACACCAGAGAAAGAGACAGGATGGTGAACTGTGGGATGGGGCTCCACATTTTTGACAAAGGTTCACCAAACGACAGGTAATGTTATAAGAAACACTGATGGTGGTCGGCCAAGGAAAACAGCGGTGACTGATGATTGATATACTTGTAAAAAACACAAAAAACAGCATGCTAAAATAATATTTTACTAGCACTTTCTTTTTCTGCCCACACTGACAGTTTTGTTTTTTCGCTCGTTTAATTCAGACAACAATGAAGTACCGGACAAGAAGTCTTCAACAACCGAGATTTCTCAAACGAAGGAAGAGAAAGAAAATAAAAACTGACAGAATTTTTTTTTTAAATTCCATTAATTCTTTTTTTAATATTTCTATTTTTAAAGTTTTGACTTTTGAAACGAAATATTCTTCCGTAAACGAAATTTTCAACCGTGGGATAATTACATGGTTAACAAAATTCTTCCTAGTTACACAAAACAAAATCTCTTAAAAAATTAGCATTAATTCAAAACTTTGCTCACGATTATGCTTCAACAGATTCATACAAATCAAAAATCTTACATATGGCAGAAATGAACTCACCTTGCATCCAACCCAAAGACAAACATAACTCTTGCTGTCATCTGGTTGACTCTGGACATGGCACTGACGAATATGATCAACGAGATCTGTGGCAGTGGTATTAGCGTCCGCAGTCCGATTGCAGTTGAGCCACTTACAGGCACCATCCTCGCCTGAAGCGACGCTACTGCTGTTCTGTGAGTCAACTGCACTGCCCTGGCTGCAGTTCGACGATGTACAGTCAATATTTAGTTCATTACAAAGGGGCCCCTGATTTGCAGCATCGCTGTAAGAGGACTGTCGACTGTTGCTTTCTTCAACATACAAACTCTGGTTATCGAAATTCGATCGGATGAGGACCACTTTGGGATTCAGATGTGTCGTTTGTACAAAAAGTTGGTCACTATTGATTGATTCGCTGTGGGGATGATGGTGGTCCTCGTCTACCGAGGAAGGTGAAACCCGCGTTGTTAAGTTTAACCCGTTGCTGTTTTTGATGCACTCGGCTTTGGTGAAAGAATTTAAAGGCAGTTGTTGTCCACAAAAAGTGTCCGACTCAAGGTCGTCGCGACAAGCCTGCTCGTCGAAGAAAGAGGAAAGAATGTCGGTGGAGTTACTTTCTTTGCCGAGTTCCTCAGAGTTCAGTAATTGTGAAGGAAACTGAGAAGAGTTGACCATTGTATGATTACTATGGTGGAGAAGTCGGAAGTCTTCCGCCCTTGTTTGATTGCTATTTAAACAGTTTTTTGTTGACAACAGGAACTGGAAGCTGTCGGTTTGGGACGACAGTTTAGGACTTTTTGGAATGGCAGGCTTGTCGCAGTCAGTGAGCGGAAGGCAGTAGTGACGGAACGCACTGTCCAGCCCATGGACCCCTTCCTCTGGCGAGTTTGTAATGTATTCTTTGCTGCAATGGTTCTCTTCCGATTCGTAGCTGTTGTCGGTCCGAGGACTGAGGTCCAACAGAGAGTCCGAGCGGTCATCCTCTTCCTCCTCTTCGCACCGTCCAAACTGAATGGGGGAAATGGACCCCTCCGGGGAGGTGGGATTGACCAGGGACTTTGCTGGACTGGGTCCGAGGCCGCTGTCCTCGCTGTCCGCTCTCAGGCACTCATAGGGGCAGTGTTGGATAGGCACAGGAGGCATGGGCTGTGGAGTGACTGGCCGCGACGGAGAACTTGGCTCACTGGCAATGTCGCTGGCCGCACAGCTCGATTGACAAGACTCTCCTCCACTAATGGTCACCACGCTGTAACAAAGAAACAAGCTTTAGCAAAAAGGAAATCATCATTCACAAAAACAAAATTATAATTTAAATTGCTACGAATACCAATTTATGAATGAAATTACCAATAGACTTTATTGTCATTCATAAACTGCCGCAATGAAAAAATCTTGTCTTACTTCATTACTGTGGACAATGGCTACTGTTAATTTAGGCACGAATCCACACAAAACTATTATCCCGCACTTTCATTTAATATTAACCAGTAAAATTTGACTACTTAGCGATACAGATTAGACATACAAACTTACATAATGAGGTATTTAAGATAAAAGATTTCTACAATTTCTGATTCAAAACTTCATTCCAAGCGAATTTATGAAACAGAAATGTGAAGAATCTTCGAAAAGCTCAAGGACGAGCTTTAAATATACAGCATTTTACTTTGAAACATAATTCTGATTCAAAACAGTAACAACGATAACTGAAATACGCTCGTTTTGTATTTGTTTAGGTTACTCTGTACAGAACTCATGTTTTGAAACTGAAAGTAACATGCATACTATTGTTGAATTAATGGTTCACCAATTATTCCTTTAAAAGAGTAAAATAATAATGTCTGGATGAAGCGACGCCTGCCCTTCATCCAAATTTCATTATTTTATTCCATTGTTTGCAAAAATATTAAGTTGATACGATTCTTCCTGTGTTTAGAAGAACAATTAAAAACTTCTGAATGTAAAAAGCTTATAGCTATTCTATAGTTATTTTATTCTAATATTAAATATTTTAGGAAGTCATATAAAAACATGGACATACGTCAAATAATGAACGATTCAATTAGAATCTATCATAAAAAGTGAAAAATCGATATAAAAAAGCATACGTTCTCAATCGATTAGAGAGTAGTTAAACTTCAGACTAATTTTCACTTATTTTGTCTTCAAAGAGCTTTGTTTTGAAGTCAATTTGGCTATTGATGGCATTAAAAAAGCTAAACAAATACAAGCATAAACAGACAAATAAAAGAAAGTAAGCAAACTGAAAAGCGTACAAAATAAAATAATCAATGTGATTTACAAAAACAGATTCTATAATTATAGCAAAAAAGTTTTTCATATCACTAAGTGAAAAATTCAGTTTTTCACTGAAAAGCTCAATTAATTACACAATAACGTTGTAAATTTTAGAAAAAAAAGTTAAAGATATACTTTTCCTAATGGCTTCCTCTTTTAACACAACAGGCGCGTTCTCTATCCATACTATGCTGCGAAATAATCCTGTAATTATTCGATGTCAAGGACCATAGCATTAAGGAAATTTTTCCCGACTCAAACGTCTCTTTTTTCCAGACGTTGGCCAGACACACAGGCAAATCAGTGCGGCAGCAGTGCGTGACATTAAGGTAGAATTTAAAGTGCTAATTTAAAATCGTGAGAAAATGCAAGTAAACACGTTTTCAACTGCGTTCGAAATTCAAAAACTGACGTTTTTATCAAAGAATATACATAATTCGTCGCATCGCATGGTTAAGCCGTAAGAAACTTAATACGTGCTAAATCTAAGCTTCACCTATACCTGGATTGCCATTTGAAACTGAACTTCGTGTTTATTAATTTATATTGAAATGCTTTGTTGGTTTCAGGCAAGACAAAAAACACAAAAACTGTTATGCATATTTAAAATCTGTTAAATTAATTTTGATGAATAAAATTTTAGAAATTAAATAAAAATGAACACTAAAGTAAAAGTCAATAAATTTAATTGTATTCAATAAGTACATTCAGTGACATCAAAACGTCTTATCATTTAGCTTTTAGCAAACGAACTTTCTCAGTAATATACAAATTGATAAATATTTAGCAAGTAAACTTTAACACAATACTACATTCCAAATTACAAGTCAACCCTAACAAATATGGTAATAAATAACTTAATCCCAGCGCAATTTTTCGCAAATATCAGATTTCCCCCCCCCCATGAATTTCGGATTATTTCTTATAATTGTTGTCTTGTTTTCCGTTAGAATTTTCGCAAAAATATATCCAACGTAATCTTATACATCGACTCGCAACCATTATAGTGGTTAGTGACCACTATAATGATACTATAATTATACTGCCACGAAGGGTCCGAATTCGAGACCAGAAGAAAGCATGGATGTTTGTAAATGTATAGTGTCTGTGCAGCACGGGGGCACTCAAAATATGCGGCGAATAGAAAGTCCTCCCGAGAAGTTAATGGTAAAAGAAGAGACTGGAGACCCCCGCACCTTCCCATGGTGCACTCTCTCTGAATTGGGGGAGAAAGTGAGCAAAGTCGTAGAGAAGGTGGGAGACCTTCGGACCTACCCGACCGTGCTCTCCATCAAAAATTGGGGAATCGGTAGAATAAAAAGGAATCGGTAGTATCTTTATATATTTTAGATAACTCCTTGGTTCATTGACTGGAAAAGGCTTGTTACGTTAGGCGGTAGAAATATAAAGCAATCTAATTTCCAATTTAAAATTCGACCTTCAAAAGTAGTGTTATTTTGATAATACTGTTAATTTAATACCGTCAATCAACTAATTTTTTATTAGGTCAACAGGGCTGCGCCCTGATCATACGCCAGTTTAAGAGCCAGTCAGAAGAGAAGTTGCTACAATTTCTTTTATGTTTTAACTTATATCTCTACTTGATGTACTTTGCAACAGTCTATCCCATGTGACTTAAAATATATCTAATTAATAATTTTTACATGTGTAAGCACCACTATTAATAACAGACATTTTTAACACCATATGATACCATCTTCGGCTAAAAATAAAACGCTTGCCAAAGCCCTAAAAAGAGTTTCTGTATATCATATTACTCATCTCCACATTGTTTGGGCAAATTACAAAAAATAATTTACAGAAAAATGAATTTTTAAACGTACCAAAGTTTTTAGACTGTTACGTAACGTTGCGATTCCTTGCATTATTATCCACGCAACATGACAAACGCGACCATTGCGCTTATATAAGACCTTTATAACGCGGCGTCACAAATAGCCAGTTTTCCAAGCATTGTCAATTGGGAGAAGAATAAGTCTAAGTTATCTTTTAGATTTAATCAATTGATAATTACTTCACGAAGTAAGCAATTTAAAAATATTAAACGCACTTCTCACAATTTGAATCTTTAAATAAAATAACTAATTTTAATTTTGAATAAAATAACTAATTATTAAAATTTAAAATAAAACATATGATACAGTTCATAGAATAATTTGTATTATATTTTGCCCTGATTTGTTTTCTTTCTTTATTTATTTATTCAATAATTACATTTCAAATGTTATACATTACGAAATATATAATAAGTAACCAAAATATAGTATGTACCTCATACAAAACATTCCATATAGCACGTACAATAATAGAGTCGTAAGTAAAGACTTGAAGCTCCGGGCAACACATGACAATGAGGTCTCCTTTTTATTGTTTCTCACTTACTCCTCAAGTTATGAATGAGCATTTTCTTCAGTAGCTTTAATGGAATGAAAGATTTTTCGATAAATGAATCGTTCATTAAGCTATTATTAGTTATTTTTTATTCCTGTTTAGTCTCGTTAAGTTAATAAATATCCGAAGATATCTGACGTCATACACAGCGTAATGCGAAACATAAGCAATAAAATCAAATACAATTATTACAAGTAAATTATTCAGTATATTTCATTTTTGCATTTGGGTTATAAAATTTTTTGTTTTTTAACGCTTCAGGATGCAAATTCACGAACTATTTTATCAAGTCAGATTATTCTCAATTAAGAGCAAAACTAAAGTGGTGGGCCTTTCCTATCCCATACTTCTTCGTACATAATTTTTTATTAATTTCAGTTTTAAGAATGATCCCTGTATTTATCAAGAAAACTTCGTGATAATAAACTATGATTCATTACAAACAATTCTGAGAATCCTTTAACGATACTATTTTTTCTAGCTAAGACAAATAAATACTCGGCTTTAAAAGTGAAACTGTTAGCGAATATATCGAAATACAGAAATATCATTACTGAAGTTTATTTTTCGATTTTTTAAAATCAAATTCCACCATAATAAATTTCATGTTGCACTACATGATTCCCTTGTATGGCCTATTAGAATATACACATTTTTTCCTGAACTTTATTTAAACTTATTTTCTCGAATTATTTTAATTTAACTAACGAATTCCTCAGAGCAAGTTGAAAGTAACATAAAAAAACTGCAAATTTTAAAATCAAATTTCCCCGCCAAAATTTTTGTCGTGCGGGAGTTAAACTTCTTATAATTTTATTTTTTCATAACGAGGTTAAAACTTTCCAAAATAATTTTTTAAAACCTTGAAATTGACAAAACATGAATATTTTCGTTATTTAAATACATCTGTAACAAAGTATTACACTACGACCAACGATTGCCGAGGATATATATATATAAGATAAAAATGTGTAAATCAGCTTTATGATTTAATTTAATAATGCGCGCTTAATTCCTCATTTTTAATCGGGTATATTTCCTTTAAAAAATTAATAAAATTTCTGGACTGAGCCATTTTATGATTAACAAGAGCTTGCGTAACGCTGACGACGTTGTTATTTCGGAACCTAAACTTATGAGAACTGAATTTTTTCTAAATTAAAAAAATGTTTCTCTTGTTAAGCTTCCAAATTGGATAAATGCGAATTTCGCTTGTATCTCTGTTGCTGCTTGGATGCCATTTCATTTCGCTGTGCTCTCTTTCCTATTTCAAAAGTATTCAAAAATGTAAATGTTTTGAAAATAGGCACGATTACACTACCAAGTGAATTGTGGCCACAAATGTGAATTTAAATAAAAATTGAATTTAATCTACCTCGACTTCCAATTTTCATATTCATTATGTATTAGCATTCCACGCAATCAAAATTCTTATTCTTCAATATGCTATCTACGTGCTTCGCCAAACAACATTGCTATGTTTTTTTCTCTTTTTTTTATCACACGTGGTTACTACTGATTGCAGTAAAAAAGAATGGTGCACAACTAGTTACTATAGCAGTCCCATATAGAAAATTTCAACGTTCTATGGCTAAGCGTTTTTGAGTTATATGACATACACACGTACAGATGTCCCAAAAAAATTCATTCTGAATCCTATTTACAATCTGTTTTGAAATAAAGAGTCTTTTAGTGT